CCTGGAATGCTATCGTTTAAATAGTTATATTTACTCAAATTTGGGGTTTCTCTATGAATTATCCCCAGACCCGCATCTAATCTGACGCTTGGGCTACCTACTTAATCACTATAAGATTGAAAAGATGAATTTGATAATGATTTAGTAAATTTACTCTGATTTTTAAAAGTTATAAATATTCATAAAAACCTCGGCTATACTCATACCTCGGCTTTTAAAGTCTCTATGATCATTGGCCTTGGTTTTAGTATTACATAGTTAATAAATTTAATAAAAATTTCAATCAAATTTTAAATGCCATACTGATCTAACTAAACATTTTAGAATTCTTATGTTGAAAATTCCTATGTTGAACCAAGCGGGGTATGTCTGTTAATAAGTACAAAGACTAACCATAAAACATTATAGAATCGTGGTGGATACAAGGCAAGGCGGTTATAATTATATAGACTCAAATTTAGACATTTTAGAAACCTATTTATAAGGTAAGGAGGTTAAGAAATACGTACCGAAAGTTTGGAAGTTCATCTGGTAGTCAATACAGTGTAAGGAAATAAATATTGACGTATTACTCAAATTTAAATATTTAAGACTAATGTTCGAGGAGAAAAAACGGTAAAAAAGCAAATAATTACACAGTACTAAATTTAAATATTTTAGAATGAAGGATACTCGGTAGATAGTTTTGTAGTATACATACTCAAACTAAAAATTATATATTTAGATTGAGGATTGGCATGTAAATAGTTTTTAGTATACAGACCAGTGCTGGGTATTTACCATTTGTTGGCTCCGGCTCCGGGTTTCAAAATCTTGGCTCCGGGGTTTTAAATCTTGGCTCCGGCTATCGAGCTGGCGATTTTCGGAGCCGCTCCATGTTGGCTCCGGGTGGAAAATCAATGAATTATTTTTCATTGGGGGATTTGGGTAGATAAAGAGGGATATCGAGTAATATAAGATGATCAAGAGGGTTATCAATGGATTAAGCTGGATTTGGGTGGATTATCGCGTTATTTAGGTGGATTAAGGGCTATATCGGGGGAGGGGGAGGGATTAAGGGAATTTGGATCCAAAAATCTTCCTTTTTTTGCGTCGCAGGCGAAAATTTTGAAAGAAAAGAGACTAAAATTAATCAATTTAAAAAATTTATCCAGCTTCATTTAATAAAAAAATGTTTATTATAATTTATTTTCCAAATAAAAACAAATGATTTATTATTTGTTGTGATATTTTTGAACCTATAATTGGATAAAACTCGAAACCTAACTCACTATCCATTCAACCACTCCTATATTGAAATTGAAAGGAAAGAAAATCTTTTTTACCCGTCTCATTTTTCTCTTCCTTTTCTTTTCACGCCTAACATCTTTGCTTACTTCTTTTTCTCTAACCCATCTTTAGGGGTGTATAGCCGGAGCCGTGGGGGAATTGGAAACCCTTGGCTCCGGCTCCGGGCACTTCAAATTCCTGGCTCCGGGGTTTTCAAAATCTTAGCTCCGGCTCCGCCGGAGCCGGCTCCGGAGCTATACCCAGCACTGATACAGACTAAACTAAAAATTTAATATTTTAGATCACTGGTTTTAAGGTAGATAGTTTTGTAGTATACATACTCAAATCTTATTTTAAATCATTTTAGCCGCCCAACACTTCATATGGTCGTAACTACGGGGTAAGGAAATTAATATTAACGTATCACTCAAATTTAAATATTTAAGACTTATATTGACCCAGAAACGGTAAAGAGGTTAATAATTACATAGTACTAAAAATCAAATATTTTAGATTCGTGCAATCCATGTAGGTAGTTTTGTAGTAAATATACTCAAATCTAGTAATTTTATAAACCTGATTACACGTTAAGTAGATTAAAATTAGTTATATTTAAACAAGTTAGTATCCTGGAAGGCCTCTGCTAAATCAGGGCTCGCATCGACAAAATTCCACTCAAAAGTATCAAAATCTCGATTAAAAAGTATATAGGGAGAAAATTTGCAAAAAAAAAGTAGTCTCAAAATTAAATTAGAAAATATTTATTCGTCCTCAAATCTTTCATATTTTTCTCCTAAATGAATCTTAACTAATAATTTCTTGTTTAACTGAGCATTTTATCAATTTCAATGCATCTTTTCTTGGGGCCGAAGGCGCCAAAAAATTTATTTTTTGCGCCGCAGGCGAAAATTTTGAGAATTTTGGAGGTCCTTAAGCAAGATTTCTTCCATTTTTTGCGCCGCAGGCGAAAATTTTGAGAATTTTGGAGGTCCTTAAGCAAGATTTCTTCCATTTTTTGCGCCGCAGGCGAAAATTTTGAGAATTTTGGAGGCCGTAAGCCAGAAAATTCACTTTTTCGCCCAATCACTTCCCCAATTTCATTTTCAATCAAAAAAAAGTATATACTTTCAAAAAAGTATAAATTCAATTTCGTAAGCATGGAGGTCGATTTAAAAGTAGAATACTTTTAAAAAAGTAGGAATGCGAGCCCTGTGCTAAATAGTTATTTTTACTCAAATCTAAACATTGTAGAATCCTTATGTTATTAGTTCAACCTAGAGAAGGTCGAGTTCGATGCCTGCCGAGGTCATTGTCTATTTTCAAACCTCAATCTCGATTTTACTGATCTCGTGTCTCGGAACCTCGTCTCGATCCTCAACTAGAACTTCGCCGAGACTTCACAATATACGCCCTTAAAGATTGACTTGTTGAGCAGAAATAGAATAAATTTGGCATATTTTCTTTCAAAAAATTATCATATCCTGCATGCGGCGTTCTAAAAAGAAGAATTTAGTCTTCTTATTGGCCTTCTAAATTACCACAATTTTCGCCTGCGGCGTTGAATTCAAAAAGATTTGGGGTTTCTTGAGAATTGGTCTGAATAAGTTTAAAAAGATGACTAATCATTAAAACTAAACATTTTAGAATCGTGGATACCAGGTAAGAATTTATAATTATAAGCATTAACGATTAATACAATCAAATTTATACATTTTAATAGCCTAATGTTTATCCTTATCAACGAAAGGTAAGGAGTTTAATACATTGCTATTAAAGTCTGTCACATATGTAAATCAATCGGAATCGAAAACCGGTGTTTTTTGAGAATTAACGGTACCGGAAAATGGGTATTCTAATAAATCTTTGTTAGAACAGTTTTTTAGGTCTAAAATAGAGCAGGGTACTTATTGTAGAGTTCATAAATAATTAATTGACTTTTACCATTTTTGAGAAGTATAGTATACAGGAGCTATATATTTTCATGTGCGGAATATAGTTCGGAGATTTTTTTCTATGGTTTTTTTGATTTTGGAATCAAAAAATTATTATTACGGCCCAACGCTACTATGCTACATAAAGTATAGTACTGTTATACTCAATCGAAGGGTATGTGTTTTGGGTAAATTCTTCGGTTCGTATACCCCCTTTATTTTTCTGACCATTTTTCAGTTTTGCTTCCCTTTCTCCATTATTTTTCAAGAGGCAAGTATCATGAATGATTATGTCAAATTCATAATTAGGTATATTAAGCTCTGTCATCAGGCAGGTAACAACACTAAACATAACGAACATAAACTGTTTGGTGATATTTCTCAAGTTTATTTATAATTTTTGATGTATCTCTTTTTTATCCTGTTGAAAAAGTATATAAATATTACTCATACATAAAACTTTTTGATACTTGATTCATGAAAAATAAGGGCGGAATGAAGAGATATACAATAGAGACCGGACTTGAGTGATCGTTCGATAATATCGATATCGATTATCGAAAAATATCGAAAGAATCAAAGAAATTATCGTTCGATAATATCGACATCGATATATCGATATTTTCCATCTATATATCGTATCGATCCGGTCTCTTGTGTAAAACCGAAGAATTACCGTGTTTTGTTTCTAAATTTTGCATACGGTATAGAGTTGGTCACGGTACCGTATTACCGCGGTATTTTTCGGTAATACCGTGGTATTTCTACCGAAATACCGATACCGCCTCAATCAAAAATACCGCGGTATTGTGCGGTATCGGTATTTTACCGAAAATATTTTACCGAAAATACCGATACCGAATTATCGCGTTTGCCTAACACTAATACGGTACCCTATTTGTCAAGAAGTGAAAAGTAACAGAAGAAAAGGAAAATGTCTGGAGGTAACCGAATAGTACCAATATTCTTTTTAAGAACCCGATATAAGATAACAAATATCAATTGTATTATACCTAAACTAAAATATTTTAGAAGTATTTACATTGTCGTGGTGCAGAGGATTGCTTGAGATCTCAAGGATGTTTTGCTAAGATAACAAATATCAATTGGGACACAAAACCATCTGATAAAGGCTATCCATATTATAATAGTAATTAAATTTTAATTAGGAATAGAATGATGGGGAATTTTGGGCTTTGTGACTCCGATTGTCTTTTAATCCCGAATCCACCTCTTAAATCTCATAAAAAATTAATTATAAGGGCTTAAAATCATATCATAAAAACTAAACTCTCAATGATATCGAAAATCTGTTTGAACTATGGCGTAAAAATTTGAGCGGGGACCGAAAATTCTCTGTTTATGATTTTGAGTAAACAAAGTTATCGTACATTATTTTAAGTAATACAGGGATGTGATAGTTGTGATGATGACGATAGCTGCTTTTCCTGTTCGGACGATCTATGTAATGATCATGAATTTGTTCAACAGCATTTTCACACATGTTTGGCAGACCATAATGTACCTGGAACCTTGATTGCTTGTAAGAAAAATGTTGATACATGTCATATTCTAAACTGGGATGGAGAGGAAGGTTTGTTTGCAGTTATAAAGAAGGAAAGGTTCTGCGAACTACATAGTCTAATTTTTAATATAAGCCTTCATTTACTTTTCTTTTGCGTTTTTTTTGCAACGTCCCAGTTCATCTCATACTATATAATTCTACAAAATACTTAGAAATTTAGGACGACAAAAGTGACATTAGGAAAAGTAAACCGAACCAGATTTTTTTATATAAAGATATATTCTGGGGTGGATGTGGCAAATGTGATCCAAGCAGGCATTGTTTCGATTGCAAAGGTAGAAATTGTAATACAGCAGATAAATTCAAAAATGCGTTTTATTGTTATGAGGGAGGTGATGAAGAAATTGGCAACAGTGTATGCCAGCAAAATTATTGTTATATATATGTTGATAGTAACGGTAAAATAATCCAGTGTGATAAATCCCATTAGTAATTTTTATCTAAAACAGTCAATCAAAATGCGGGTTGCGGTAGATGTACAGAAGGAGATTTTATATGCTTTGATTGCAATACAAGAGAATGCAATTCGAGGAATAATTATGATAAAGCCTTTAAATGTTATGAAAGTAACGGGAAATTAACGCTTACGAAAGGAAAGGAATGCCTCATTGAAAAATGTTATTTTGCTTTTGATATTAAAGGTATACACTTGTATATATGAATAGGGTTGCCAAAATGGACCGACTCGGACCGAAAGATCGAGTCAAGCCTCGATGTTTGGCCCGAAAAAGTCTCGTACCGGCCCGACTCGATAAATCTGGGCCCGAAAAAGACTCGTAACAGCCCGACTCGATAAAGTTAGGCCCGAAAGTGACTCGTACCGGCCCGACTCGATAAAAACAGGCCCGAAAGAAATTGTCTCGGAAAAAGTCGGCCCGACTCGAACGAGACTCGATAATATTTTTACTAGATTTGTGGACAAAAATGGGTGAAATCTGGCTCCTTGGCCTTCCAAAATTCGAAAAATTTTCGCCTGCGGCGCTGAAAAAGGAAGAAGTTTGGTCCTTAGCCTTCCGAATATCTCAAAATTTTTGCTACCATTTATAGCGCCGCAGGCGAAAACTTTTTCGACCATTCTTCTACTATTTTTTCCCCCTTTCCCCTATTTCGGGGGGGGGGGGCTCTAGCCCGGCCCCCAGCCCCCTAGATACGGCCTTGGATTAAGTGTTACTTAATTGGCACCAGTGATTTGGAGGTATATCAGTGATTTCATCTTTTTTTACCACTGGAGTCGAAAAGTTTAAGACTTTTTCGGGGGGGGGGGGGGGGGGGGGCTCTAGCACGATATCCCCGATATATATAACGCATGATATCCCCGATATCCCTTCAAATCTCCTCATTCCTTCTAAATCCCATTACAATATATCACCTTAATCATCTGATATGCGATCCTAAACCCCTTAATCATCTGATCTCCTTTAATAAAACCAAATCTAGCAATATCTCACCCCAATCCTCAGATAATTTAAATCACCTTAATCCTTCAAATCACCTTAATCCTTCAATCCATTTCAATTCTCTTCAGCCCTTCATTTACCCTCCTGATCCATCGATATACCTTTTAATTCACAGATATCCCTCCAAATCCACTAATTATTTTTAAATAAATCTTTTAAAAAAAGACTCGAAAATGTCTCGGTGCCCGACTCGATAAAGTCAGGCCCGAAAGTGACTCGTTCCGGCCCGACTCGATAAATTTAGGCCCGAAAAAGACTCGTATCGGCCCGACTCGATAAAGTTAGGCCCGAAAAAGACTCGTACCGGCCCGACTCGATAAAAACAAGCCCGAAAAAAATGCCTCGACCGTCGGCCCGACTCGAAAACGGCAACCCTATATATGAACTTGAAATTTTTTAATTCCAAGAAGGAGAATTGGAAAACGTATATGAAAAACATACAGAGCAAGGATGTGGATATTGCCCTCCTGGTAAAATCCATTGCAAGACATGCTCCTATAATTTATGCAACACGAAACAATTTGCCGAAACAAACATTTTTATGTGCAATATTCTTGGTAATAAGCTTGGGCTATGCCCTTCTGGCTCAAGCGAATGTCATTACGGTGGCTGGGTAAGGAATTATTTTGCTCTTGTCCAGTTTACGCGTCCAATCTCACCTTTATACGTCCAATGAAAATTTTATTCGATTTGGATTTAATTTTGTAACTATTATTTCTTTTCAAGAAAAGCGGGGGATGTTATTCCGTCAACGAGGGAAGGACGTCCGTAACAAGGTGATGTTTTTATGCTAAAAATAGAGACAGCAATTTTGTACAGTACCGTATTCCTTACCGTACTAACGATAATACCATTACCTCGAAATTTAATGCACTGCATTCCTTGTCATGATCATTGGAAGCCTAAGGGTTAATTGGGCGTGTAAAGGGAAAGTGGGCGCATAAACTTGACACGACCCAATTATATTATCAGAACCAATATAATGTTGGATGTGGAAAATGTCCTGAAGCCTTTTTATATACGTGTTTTACTTGTAAAACACCATTTTGCAATACACAAGATAATCTGCTTAAGACATTTAAATGTGTAGAAAGTATAAACGGAAAATATTCTGATCATAAAGCTAGAGAATGCGACACAAAAAGATGCTTTATTTCTGTTGATCTTCTTAAAGGTATTTTTGAGTTATGTCAAAACTAAGAATGCGACATGTTGAGAAATAAGCCAGGCCGGGTTTCGGTTCCAGTTTTGGGCTGAAAAAAGTCCTGGGTACAGTTTTCGGATACCGTGTTTGGATATCCCGTGACCTCACTTTCGAAACTAGATAACATACCTACGGTATCAAAAGTAAAAAGAAATTCCCTGTCGTTTCGTATCGGTCTGAAAATATTAAATATCTTTTTGTCTCTTGATAACTAGTGCGCAATTAACTAACCTCGACGGATTAGTCTCTGTCGAAGTTTAAATATGAGTAAGCAGAAATAATTAGTTGTCAGCAAATAGAAATGTTTTATCTTAATTTATAAGTGTTTACTAAAGCTCGACGGCTTTGACAATCGATGACACGTTTGGATGTTAAATAGAGTTGGGTTAGTCCGGATCCCAACGTATACTCCGGGGGTTTTCTCTGGTTGATACTCCCCGTATTACACACCCTTGTATGATCGAAGTTACTAAAAGGATTTCCTTGTTAGATGACTCTAATGACAAAAATTTATTTATTTAAAATAAATAAAAAATAAATTAATTGTAAATGAATTGAAGAAACAGAAAACTTTGTCTCAATGCGTGCTCGCGACAACGGGATGTTATCGAGATTCGAATATCATAACTATGAGTGTGCCTTTAGGCAAAAAATTTTCCAAAATACACAGGGAAATAAAAAAAACGCAAAAATCTTTAATAAATGTGAACAAAGTTAACGTCTATGTATTTATGGGGGCATAAATTATTTTTATTTAACCAATTTCTAAGGTATAACGGAAGAAGTGGCGTTAGAAAAATATACAAAGCAAGGATGTGGAGAATGTCCAAAGGGTGCTAGACAATGTCGGACATGCACAAAAGATATATGTAACAATAAAGATTTCTATCAAGAAATAAGATATTGTTGGAAAAATGATAATGAAATTGTAGAATGCAGTAAAAAGCAATATAAAGGAAAATGCTATTATGCTTATTACAATGATCAGAAAGGTAAAGGGTTTGACCATTTGAACTCCCGCAACATGTTTTTTGACTATTACGGTCGCATTTAACACGTCTCATATTTATTAAATCCTGGTATCATTCGACTCAGCAAGACAAGCTTTAGTTATTAACGATGACCTTTTTATACATCTTAAACAAAAAATGGACTGGGAGGAAGAGGGGACGACATGAATACACACTAAACTTGAGTATACATCTAAATATTTTCATAATACAGTTGAACAAGGCTGTGGGGACTCACCAAAGAAAACGGAAAACTTATTAAAATATGCTATTTGTGATAAAACGACTATATGCAACTCAAAAGAATTTTTTAAGAAAACTTTATATTGTCTGAATAAAGGGAAGGAAGAAAAGAATCACAAGAAGGGAATAAAACATTGTGATCAGGAATGTTTTGTTTATAGAAATTCTGATGGAAAAGGTACATAACAGGCATGTACTAGTTGAGAAAAAAGTCGTGTCGGGTTTCGGATAAAAAGTTCAGGATTTTGGTCTCGAGCGGGTCAGCATGGGGACAAAGATTGAACAAAGTAGGGTAGAGTTTTGGGTCGGGATTTGATAAATTTCTATGATCGGGCTTCGGGTACCTTGTGACTTCGCTGATACACGTATAAAATTTACTAAATAAAATTTATTCTTAATCAAAATTAGAACAAGGTTGTGGGTGTAAAAAACCCTTTATGGAATACCGTTAAGGATTTGCCATACTAATTATAATCCTTTCCAAGTAACACAAGGATGTGGAAAGTGTTTAAATAACGACAAAATTGACTGTATTACATGTAAAGAGCGTTATTGTAACACTGAAGACAAGGTTGCCAAGCTTTGTTGGACAAATAAAAATGAAAAATGTAGAACTAAAAATCCTTGTTATACATTGAGAACATCAACAAATGAGGGTTTTAATTCAATCTCACGTTAAAATTTTAAAAAAATTTTTAAGTGAAAAAAGGATGTGGAAAGTGCACTTTCGATACATGTGAAGAATGTAATGAACATCTTTGTAATAATCAAGATCCTTTCTATTGCTATGGATCTATGGGTAACTACAAAAAGTGTAAGAAAATTGACTGTTATATTGCTAAAATTGAAGAGAAGAATGGAGGTTTGTTAGTATACATGCTTCTCTTTAAAGTAGATCCTGTCACTTTGATCCCGAAACCCCCGAACTCTAAGGGTCGGTTTTCTACTCTAATATAAAACCCCAATATTATAGAAGAGAAGATAGACCAATTCCACTATGATTGTGGAAAATGTCCATCAGGGATTCTCAACCTTTCTCCATACATCAAGACTAAAGATCTAACACTCCAAAACAAAATAAAGAAAATAAATATGAGTAATGTTCAATGCGCCCAATGTAACAATAAACCAGCTTGTAATGCAGATACATTTTTTGGAAGTCAATTGTTTTGTTGGGAAAAAGATTTAAAGGAATGGACAGCAACGAAAGGAAAAAGAGTTTGTAAGAAAGGATTTTGCTTTGTTGGGATTATTAAAAAAGAAAAGGGTAAATTAGAATTTAAGGTATTCGTCGGTTATCAATGCCCATTTTTAAATACAAATAGCAAATATTGTGTAGTTAGTTTTAGAAGTGGGTAGAGCATAATGGTAAATGTCCAGCTCGCTATCTACCTGTCCACAAAGGGATACTTCCTACATACTGATACAGTATACCTTTTCACTTGGAAAAGAGAGAAATAAGTTAAAATATATTTATTTCACAAATAATCAAATAACGTAAACATTTGACAACATT